AAAAAAAAAAAAAAAAAAAAAAAAAACAACAACAACACACACACACGAATGCAAATACGATTACGAAGTGCATCAAATGAAATTTTTCGAAAACTCGAAAGATTTCGGTGAAAAAGTGCTTCAAATTACATTTACAATAACTTTAAATCCCATTTTCTTAAAAACGGCTCCACAGTTTTCAACAAAAATTTCATTGTAGAACAAGATTTTACTCTTATTCAATAGTCTTAAAGTAATATTTCGGTTCTGTCACTAGAAAACCGAAAATTTGAGAAAAAAAAATGTACTTTGGGCGGTGACAACAGCCGGTAAGAGGATGTGTCATCTGTGCCATTCTGTAGCACCGCTAGTAACTTTCTTGTAATTGTACGGAGTAATGTAATACGTAGTATACAGAATGTTTCGTAATGCTGCGGAAAATCGATTTTCAGATTTCAACGAAAATACACGTTTTGGAGTCTCCAGACACCAAAAAAGTATTTTTTCTTTGTATACCAACATTATACACTATCTCTTATGTCATTGAAAATCGTATAGAAACTGCAGGATTCTGAAACGAATTCAATAAAATAACACGTCATCAAACAATTGCCGGGAGTATGGCGTTTTTATATTGGTTGAGGCTCGCCGAACAAGTGAGCGCCATGTTTCTTAAAGTCAAAACATACGAGTGGCGACGTAATCGTCCGTAACAAACGCCAAACGTAATACTGCAATTTTCGCAACTAGCAGGTATCAGCCGTTGACAGTTTCATCTAATCGGGAACGTGAACACTGAGACCTGCCAGGGGCCGAGATGCATAAATCGCAGTATAGAATGTTAGATTTATTAAAAAAAAAAAACTGTATGTGACAGAAGGGGAAAAAAGAGTATATCCGCACTTTCCTTGAGGTCCAGAATACCTTCCCGTCATTTTAACTATAAATAGTTGAATGATGAGTAAAAGTGTAACATATATAAATCAATTTTGAAGTCGCAAGATTAGTAATGTTTGAAAAATAGTCATTTTCATTTCTGAATTATAGAAAACTTATTTGCATCCGTACACGAATTGCAAGTATGCTTTTTTTGGCATTGCTAAGAAAATAGCAATTCGCCCTTACCTCTACTCATACCATTGCAAGCAAAAGGAGAGTTCAGCAATACGTGCGCATAGTATAGCTACGTTTACGTCCAGAAGCAAAACAAGGGGCCATCTCAGCATTTGCTCAAAGAATCAGGGAAACTGGACAAAAACCTGATCGAGATGGGGGTCATTGACCCGGAAGCAGTTTCTCATAGGGCGCTGTTTTGATTGCAAAATACATGGGTTCAATTTGCTTCAAAGATGGAGGTGATTCAGCCACTCTATGTACTACATTCTAACTCGTTGGTAACATACTTCTTAACTCCTAGGTTCAGTGACCATTTTACCTTGTAATAATTATATAATGATGTTATACAAACAATTGTATATGCAATTAGTTTATAATGCTACTTTTTTGCACTCATAAGAATAGGCGCATTGACGACGAGGGAGTCTGTGAATAAAGCTTGTATACAGTATCATTTTTCATTATGCATAAAATCGAAATCCGTATGTATACGGATTTCGTTTTAACATACGCCTTTATCTTGTACTAAGTTCAATCAAACAATTTATTGAACGATGACGCATGTGCATTTGTGCTATAAATTGGCAGTAAATCAAACTAGAAGTGCTTCAACAGCACCAACTTTCTCGCATTATTTATAAATTTGCAATTTTCGAAAATGAGATCCACGCCACTCTTAAGCGTCCCTTCTACCCGATTTTTAATAAGTTCAAAGAACAAATTTGGGACCGTTCTTGAGATTTTTTTTTTTTAGAAATCATATAAATTTCAAGAACAAATTACCCGAAAACTATTCGTTTCTTCAAAAAATTGTATATGACCTTTCTTAAAGAGCTATTTTTTTTAACACACTCTATCCAAGGCAAAGATCACCATCTTCAATTTTGTAGTTTTGAAATAACTTTTTGCAAATTTCGAGACTAGCATTATGTTTTTACCATCCCTTATTACGAGTACATATGAAGAGAAAATGTATCAGAAAATATTGGAGTGGTTTCTGAGGAAAAAAAATATTAAACGATTTTTAACATGACTACATTCACACAAAATTACATGAAAACCACTCATTTTTTCGAAAAATTGATTTTTTTCTGTTATTAGCAACTGGATTTATCCACTTTTTCATCACCAGAACCCAGCAATAAGAGTTTTTCTAAAGTAAAAATAACAACAAATCCCGATATCTAAACTAAGTACCCGGTTTCTCCAGCCTTTTTGAAATTCCCCATTTTTTATGGATCCCAGATTCGCTGGCCACTCTGATGAAGCCTAAAATGGAGTGGAGTGGGGTGGGGGGTAAAACCTAAAATTATGTATATTTAATGTTTGGAACAATTATACTGACAGATGGAAATCACCAACAGACATTACTCTTCATGTGTGATCTACACTAGAGCTATCGATCCATCATTCCAGTCTTTCCTGATACACAAGTGCACATGCACACTGGCCTACATATATAATGGCAAAAACAAATGGTTTGTTTCAGAAACCTCCAAAATACACCAATGAAATTTAGGTCTTGATTATTTGTTGTGAATCCAATTCTTTCCATATTTTATATGTATTACTGAGGAAAAATAGAAATAGACATTTACAAGGTTCAGTAGATACAGATTAATGAAAAGTTTTACAATGATATGAATATCTAGAGAGAATGTACGACAAGGTGGCCAAAACATATATATCAATGGGCACCAACCTATAGAAAATTGGGAGGCAGTCCATCGATCCATTAAAATATTAGAAGCATCACCTGAAGTAATCTAATATACCTGCAAATATTATTTTAACTTACATTTAAAAAAGATTGTTATATGGATTCAGTGCTCATGAAATTAATATGAGCAAAAACAGTGACAAACAGCAAAGAAAACCAATACAATATCAATACAAGTTTGTTCAAAGACAAACAATAATAACTACTAATTCTACTCTTACGAAATAAAAAACAAGAACAACAACAACAACAACAACAACACACACACACACACACACACACACACACACACACACACACACACACACTTTATTCAGTTTAAAATGGCCTCTTCCACAGAAACAAGTAAGCTAAAACACAGACATACACACAGTAGTGAGTAAAATGTATGTGCTACAAGTAAAAATCCATTCAGATGACACACTTCAAAAAATGTTTTCTCCTCTCTTGATATAGTATATATTGTTGCAGGTAATGTACTGATTTTTATTAGCTCATTTGTAATGTTTCATCTTAAAAAATGGTAAATATAGGGTCATTGACCATCATTCATTTCAGGCATAAAAAGAAAAGCCAACATTTGGAGATCCCTCTCTTCAAATAATTTGAACATTTTGGTGTGCAGAATAAATCAAATAGTTATTTTTATTATTTAATATAAATTAAAAAGTATCTTTTAATAGTTTTAGTAATTACAAACCTCACCTGAATTGTCATATGATCAATTGTGCCCTGGTAAAATGTTATTGTCTGCTATTTCTGCCCTTCCCCCTCCAGATTATTATATTAGTATAACAAGTCTTAATGTTCCGTTTACATTGGCCAACACAGCAGTAGCATCATTTCAAAACTCAATAGCAAGGCTTAATAAAATAAGAAAATACAGATCACATTAATGGGGCAATTTAAATCAGCAAAATTCAGCATAGATTCAAGCATGTTCATAGCTCAACAATTTAAAACTGAAACACTGAAACCAGTATAGACATACATGCAATAGGAAATCATACACTGTCAGCATGTAGCACCTTCCTGAATATTCTGAAATATGGGAGATCTGAATCAATTGCTGAAATGTGTAAATTTGTATTTAACTTCAATACCCAACATTCCCATACAAAGCAATGAACTTGTACCAGTGAATTGACTAGCACCAGGTAACCAAAAAAGCTAAGTTAAATTGTGCAAAGAGAATTCTTTGTTAAATAAATGACCAGAGGGATATGAATGTGTTACTCCAAGACAACCCACAAGGAAGATTAAGATGCAAAACACAATCAATGAACACAGGTTAGTGGTGCAGAAGACTGAAGCAGCACGCCTTATTGCAGCACAATGTCTTCTTAACTTACAAGAGTTTGACTTGGATCCGGTATTTCAATTGGTTTTGGCAGTTTGCCACCAGATTGTGGTGTTTTTGTCTGCATAAGGTAATCTCTCACAGTGGCTGACACAATTTTCATTAGCTAAGAAAGCAATAAAGTAAATGAAACATTAAAAACAAAATAGTAACTCAATGAAAATGCAGAAAACAAATTAAAAAGCCTGACTATGCAATCTTCAGTATTAAAATACGAAAAATGAAAGAAAAATAATCATAACCCAAATTTAGGTAAAATAAACTAGGAAAAGATATTAAATTAAATATGAAGAGAGGGACAGAGAGAGACAGAGAGAAAAAACAACTAATTGACAATATTGACTAATAAATTATCTTCTCTAGTGAGCTCCCTATTTTATTTTTGAAATAATGAAAGTTAAACAACAAAGAAGTACGCTGTAAAATAGTTCATTGATCCTGAAATTGGAATACAAAACAATAAAACACCATTAATACAATATTACACAGGTGATCAATTACATACTACAAGAAGTTACGAAATAAAAGCACACTACATGCAAATTTACTACAGCTCATTCAATATAAGATGTACAGAACCTATTGAAAATGGTCAGTTTACCCTCGGTAAGGTATGTCATGTGATAGATCATGTTAATGTATGAAGACCAATCCATTTTGATCAATGATAAAAAACAATATTATTGAAGAAAAACTTGAACAGAGTCTTTCAAAACTGCAACACTATCACACACTACCCAACGTGTTAGTAATATTTTTCAAAATAATGTACATTATTAATCGTTTCTGTGTAAGTAGAAGAGGAGAATTGGTGAGAGATACGGGATCAATTACATTTGTTTCACATCTCCAAAACCAATTATGAGGGTAATTGTTACTTTAGTAACATTGAGGTTACAACTTACAAAATAATTCTATTAAAAAATTAAGTAGACAAATGACTTGAAAATTTATCATACTTCAAAAATATGCCTTCATATATACAGGGTATTTTCAAATACAGATTCTGGATATATAATTATGATTTCATGAACCTGAAAATGACAAAAGAAAACAAAGTTTTCCAAAATCTAAACTCAGGACAAAACAAAGCATTAAACTGAAGAAATTTCTAACCCTCTATCTACATCTTAAACATTATGTAATTTACTTCTGTTGCTACAAAAATTCTGTTAATCTCCATATTAAAGGACATTTTTGATATAAAAGAAAGTGGATTATTGCCTCAATTATGGGCATTAAATTTCTCAACAAATTTCATAAATGTCTGATTAAATTATTTTCCTTGACTACAAAAGTTATTATTTAACTTCATTTCACTCAATTTATTAAAATATTATTTATGTATAGTGTACACTCACTTAACAGTCATACACGTTTTCTTTTCTCACAAGGCAGGATAAAGATAATTTTCTTTTGTAAAATTTTCTATTTTGCATGCTATATGCCCAGCACAATTTCTCAACTTTTTGCTCTTCTACAAAATCCCTTCTATGTTTTTATCCTTTGAAGAAAACATAAATGTTACACCACTTCAATCAAATATTCATAATACAATGATCTGATCAGTTGTTAAATAATAATAATAATAATAATAATAATAATAATAATAATAATAATAATAATAATAATCTATAATTCTTCTTCTTCTTCTTCTTCTTCTTCTTATTATTATTATTACTACATTATTCACAGTATCTACTGGTCGGTATGTCAACCACACACAGGTATGATGACCAGGTGTGTGGTTGCTTTAACTGAATGATTCCAGATGGCTTCTGAAAATACGGCATGTATTCAAAATTACTGTCTTTTGCTATATTATAATACATTCCTGGTATCCAAGTGAAGAAATTCAGTGCCCGACCGTGTCATTTTGGATCACTCCCGTACTGATTTATTATATCGGCACAGTCTTCACTTACTGAAGTTCCACTGAGTTGCGACTTATAGGCGAGATTGGTATACTTCTGGATCTTCTCTTGAATTTTCCCGATATGTTGTGGTATTGGGTTTTGAGATATATCGATAAGGAAAACCTGCTGTTGGTTTCTATCAATGTACGATTATATCTGGTCTATTGCCGCCGACATGTCTGTCAGTGATAATGAACGATCCAGTAGAGTGTGTGCTCACTACTTTCAAGCACATTCTGAGGCACATATTTATAATACGGCACGGAAGTGGCGAGTAAGCCCGTTCTCAACGCCAATACTTGTGTACTGCTTCGCACTTCATCATGCCTCTTTTTGTATTCACCTGTGCGTGTGCTGCTACATCCACTTGTTAACGTGTTGGATAGTTTCGCTTGCAGCTCACATCTTCTACACATCTACACGTTCTTATTTGTTATTTGTTATTTCTTATTTCTTCTTATTTTCTTATATTCCTATTCTTATTATTTCTTATTCTTATTATTTCTATTCTTATTATTTCTATTCTTATTTTTCTTATTCTTATTATTTCTTATTCTTATTTTCTTATTCTTATTTCTATATCTTATTCTTATTCTTATTCTTATTCTTATTCTTATTTCTTATTCTTATTTCTTATTCTTATTATTCTTATTCTTATTTTTTATTCTATTCTTATTCTTATTCCTTGATTCTTATTTTCTTCTTCTTCTTATTATTATTATTATTATAATTTTTCTCTCTTTAAGTGTTACTTGGCATTGCTTCACAAATATGTTTTACAGGGAGGGAAGGAGAAAGGAAAACAAATGCTACTGTAATAGTTTTACTATAACAGTAGAAACTTAAATATTTAAGGACAATCAAACTTCAAGAAATTTTTTCAAAAAACAGAATTATTTGTATTGCCCTAAATTTTATTAAAAAAACACAAAGTTTCATGCACAATGTGATTGCATTATCAGGTTATCTGTAATCAAGCCAGTATAAAACAATTAAACCTTCTTTCTCCATAAATGTTTTTTTCAAAATTTGGAAGTATAATTAGGCAACAACAATGCAAAAGAAAAATTATGAGATAAAAATAGAAAGTTAAATACAATATCAAAAAACAAGAAAACATGTAAATACAATAAAAAACTCAAACGGTAACATAAATAAATAGATCAAGAAAAACAAGTCTTACTGAGGCAGAAAAGGAAAAAAAACAATTAATAAGTCACGTAACATGAATGGGTCAAAGTTTTTTACTTTTTTTTTCTCTCTCAGGTGACTTGTGCTTCATATTATACATTGAATATATTGTAACGTATTAGCCAAGCTGCCAGGGCATCTATTTGGGAGCTTGTTGCGGATTAGTCTCGCCACAGGAAGAAGGGTTTTTCCGTAAAGGGAAGAACGCGGAGACGGAGACACAAGGCTTTGGGTTCTTCCGGTTATAGAAGCCTTCTCACTGTTATAACAAGCGAGGGGGTGGCGTGACGTAGGTCACGTGGGCTCGCCTATATAACGAAGTGTACGGAGCCAGTAGCCGGTTCTGGAGACGGTGGAGAACCTCGTGCGTGTGCACAAAACTTGGCGCCAAGACGGTGCATATATGCGAGCCAGGCTCGCGAGGCTGGAGTCATTAGTTGACGAAGCCTGCGACTTTATGTCCTTGGGTGACTGGGTCACGGGGGAGCGATGCTGTGTGCGTGCTCCGAGCGTGAAGAGTGGTTGAGTGCCACGATTCACGCGATTCTCAATCGGATAAGATCGCTCCTGCGATCGAGGCACAACAGCCGTTGGTGCGCCAGAACGGCTTTGTGTCCCAACACGTGACATCCGGTCACAGGAAGCTAGGCTTTGTGCGCGCTTCAAAAGTAGGAGTGGCGAAGGCACAATCAAAACCATCTTCAATCGGTTTTTTGGATCGCTCCCGCGATTCATGGGATAGTAGTCTATCAGAGCTAGGGTGTAAGTAAATTATTAAGTGTTATATTTGTTTTGTTTCTCTTTGTTAAAATATATTGTTATACGAAAGCTCTGTGTCTGTGGTCGCTGTGAGTATCCATGACGTCACAATATGTGTGTGTGTGTGTGTGTGTGTTTATATATACCATTTGTTTTTTTTTATCGTATTTATAAATTTCTTTTTCTATGGATATTGTATTTAATATTCTATTTTTAATTCAAATTAATTTAAATCTTTAAAATTTTAAAAAATTGTATGAGAAAAGAAACAGTTTTAAGTTTTGTAACTGCTTGATTTCTCACTACCTGATGATACAGCCATATTCTGTCGTGAAACGTAGTGGGTTTTTAGTACATTTAGGCCAAATCAAATAATGTTGTTTTAAAAAAATACTTGAGGTTTGATTATCTTTAAATATTCAAGGATACCACTCTCATATAAAAATATGAATCGTATAGACAATCATTGATTGGTTTTTAATTTAACAAAATGCTACTGTACCAAAGAAACAACTCACTCGATGACATGCTAGAATATTAAAACAAAGTAAGGTACAAGGTACAAAGAATTGGCTACAACTGCTGCCTTATGAGTGCAGCCAGGGAAGCACAAAATCCTGTAAATCAACATATAACACAAGAGTACCACTCACAACTTTACGAGTTTTTTCATCAACATCTCGTTCTTTGAAAGCACCTCCAAGAAGATGCCGTATCTGTGAATTTCATGAATCAGAGAAAACATAAAGCAAACTGCACTATTACCGACAAGGAAATTCAACATCAATTTAATAAGACTTAACAATAAAATACAACCAAAATATAAATATTTTCTTAATTACCAAATTATTTCTTTCAGGAACTGCTATGAACGTAATAAGTAATACACAAGAAGAGTAATACACAAATTCATGCAAATAATTCCTTTAGGTTATATTGTATAAATTCACATTTTTGGAAGTGTACTTACTACTTGTAATTCAAGTTCAGAAAAATAATAAAAATTGAAACATAGCAACTTACCACAAGAAACTCATTTTTGTCAACTCTTTCATTGCCATCTGTGTCAAACATATTAAACGCTATTCTGAAGCCAGACTGAGGTTCTAAAAATACCAAAACAGATTTTGTTGACCTTAAAAATCACAAAGCATAGTACTACACACATGACAATAATAAATGACTTTACTTACTTGTGAGAATAGATAGCAGAAATAAATATTCAGTGTAAGAAATGATGCCTGTAAAAGAAACAATGGGTTAATTCTCCAAGCAAGTAAAGATAAAAATAAACAACGTATTGATAAACCAAATCTAACCTTTGTCACGAAGGGTGCGAAACATTTGAGAAGTTCCTTGCTTCAATGATGGTGTCACATCTCTAATACTTTCCAAATCTTTGTCATTTAGAACTCTGCGTTTTAGTCGAGCTAAGGAAAGCACAAACACATAAAAATTAAATTACAGATATGAAATATTTATAGAATTTAAAGTGTAAGTTAAGTCACTTACTGGAAGTATTTTTTAATAAAGTTACAGTAAATGATTCTTTTGTCATGCAAACCAATTTTTCTGTATTATTACATCTACCTTATGAAACAATGTTTTAATGAATTTGCCAAAGAAGAATTGATCCTTATAAAAATATCTTAGCCTCTACAATACTTTGAAGGTACGTTATAACTAAACTTTAAAACAAAACATTTCTATTTCTTTTTGGCAATGTGCACATTCAAGAAACAAATAGCATTTAAAAAAATACGTTTGGTACACTAATATGGCTAAATTCTGATAACTTATGAATTTATGAAAAAGGCAGTGTGTATATAATTTCAATGAATTTTTGCTGAAAACAAAAATATTCTGATAATCTCAATTCCTTCATACTTATTTTCTATCATCGGCGATGAACCTGCCAATAATGTTCTTTAAAAGTAAATGGGAAAAAAAGAAAGAAAGAGATGAAAGAAGAGGAAGAAGAAAAAGAGGAGGAAACAGAATTGAAGAAGAAGAAGAGGAAGAAAGAAAAAGAAAACCTTAACTAGAATTTTTTCTTTAAAGATAGGTCTATGCTTCCATTTTGAGAATTACATTCACAACCTTGCACCCAAGCATATTTACTCATTGTAAACTGATAATGCATTTCTTTTTCATAAAATTAACAGTAATTCCAAATTGTTTAGTACAGTTACGTCAGTTCTGAACAGTTCCCTCCCTACAATATACAAATTTCAAAATATATTTAAGGAATAGAATAAACATTAATAAGGTTGTATTAAGGATCCTAGGAAGAGTTACATGTAATATAAATATATAATTTAGGACAAATTGTGTTAAAATTCAAATAACAAAGTGAATGGGGAATTAATGCTGCACATTCTTCATTTTTATTACGTTCTCATATGGAAATATAATAATTTATTAAATTCTATTTGTCTGTATTTTTGAATTTCACAAACCAATGACACTGTATTCTAGTTAGAACAGGGGTGAGATTTAGATGAAAAACATTTACAAATCTTTGAATTGAGAAGTGTTTACATTATTGAAAACCAGGTATTTAATAACACGTAACACAATTGTTATCTTAATATTCTTCACAGAAAACAATAATAGAAGTTCTCAGAGTAATTTTAAATTACAATACTGATACTCTGAATATAATATTCCCATTGGTTTAGAAGTTTTTAAAGGAGAAGATCGGGTTACAAATGAATAAATATGACTTAAAGATTTACACTTTTGCCACATGTGCATAGTTAACTGTTCATTAACACACCAACATGACAATTACTTCTATGACTAGAAGATTAAGATAGTACTATACAGTTAAGTTTACCAGCTTTTAGTATTGTAATGTTAATTTATTTTAATGCAAGAATACTAAAGCCAATGTTTAAAAGAGACATGATGTCAATTGTAACAGAAACTTAGCTGACAATGTAATGGAGGATTATCTCTGGAAATCAAGGATAGTGCTGGTGAAAAGCATAATCATGATATCTGTGTGATTAACTGAAAATTTGAAAGCAAAGATGCTGTGAGTGCTATCAAATGCTATTGCAGTTTGACTCATTAATATATTTACAAACGTTCAACAAATGTGAGTTGCATGCGCTACTACTGTATGTATAATCCAATGACCAAGACATGTGAAGTTCCACAATTAAATCTAAACAACTCAATTAAATACTCGTTTTAAATTTTTCTCAGTAAATCCTGTTTTTTGAACATTGAACAATCAGCATCCTTCAACATTGCTCAAAATACACTTCACCTAAGATTATAAATTATATTGTTTTTACCTGCCTCTGATCCCCTCCCTTTCCCCCTTTTTTCTAACTCATATCCTCAAACATATTAAAATGCACACGCTTTAATGAACATGAAATGCTTTTGTAAGCATGCATACATGCACACACACACATTGCCATACACCATTTACTAGAATTCATTGACACCTCTGACCCTTCACATCTACATTCTCTCTCTACTGAACCAATAACGCAAATTTGTTTTGACCCTACCTCATTTAATTATCACAAACTTATTACGGTACTATTATTGCTCTTTGAAATATCAAAGTCTAAACTAGTGCCATTTTACGAACATTACATAAAATATAATACTTGTAAAAATGGTTATAACTGAGGCTTATAAGTCTTAATTTACAATTTTCTTTTCAAAGACAAAATTAGGGAACTCGAGTATTTCATTTCCATTTCTCTTTTAAATATCCAATTAAGTGAAAATGCTTCATACTAAATTTTTTTTGTTACTTCTGATACAAAATGAGGTACCCTCTAAAAATGTAATAGATCATAATGAAAAAAAAAAAAAAAAAAAAAAAAAAAAAAAAAAAAAAAAAATTAATTATTGATAATGACAATATGTTGTGAAATGCCTGTAGCAGATTACATGTGCTCTGGCTGTTTCCTTAAAACCATAATTTGCGAACTTCCATTTTTATCCATATTAAATCTGTTTGATGAGAGGACAGATGGGCAAATCCCTATCCAGTAGTAGCGCACTTGTGAGATATTGTGTTGCTGGTTGCTTCTAAATGGTACAAAACCATCATTTTTCCTTAGCATATTGTATTTAGAAAGATTTTGCTATCTGCATGCTGAATTACACAAAATAAAATCATTGAAGAGAACTTTCTGAAAATTTCTGCTTGTTTTAGATCACATTTTTTTCAAATAATGTCAAATACCATCAGTGTTGTTTCCAGCACAAGTTATTAATATTCTATTAGAAGTACTTTCTCATCAGTACTAGTGCCAGTTTTTTTAAATGTGCACAAGCCATTTGACAACAATGCATGTTTTGAAATTTTACAAGATACAAGCATTAAGGAACAAATTTCTAGATGAAAGTAAGCAGAAAAAAGTGAAACTGAAATTTAAGAGAACATACTCAAATGGAAATATATTCTTTGCTAGATTTCATCTATTAGATGGATAACGATAAATCTAAGATTCAAGGCACAGGAATCACCATAAAGCGTAAGTGCAAAAGGAATTGCAAAACATTTTCAACATTCAGAAACATTAAGACTTTAGGTATACATTGAAAGTGCCTAAGTAACAATAAGGAAACTTTTAACACAGAATACTAGGAAAAAAAACAATGAAAACAGTATTTTAAGTGTTTCAAGTTTCTTAATTCATTATTGTGAAAAATCGTGGAGCTTCAAGAGAAGAATTATGAAACAGGTAATTTTATGTATGAGACTGGAGCATCTTTCTTAGTTAAGAGATTAATAGATTTTTTTAAGGTAGCCAGTATTTACAGCTAAAACAACTCAAAAGGGTTTATTGAAGATATTGTATAAAGTAAAGTGTATACTTGTAAAATAGAAATGTTCTTTTCACATTAATTTATTTGCATAAATAAATTGCATGATTTTTTAAGGCAAATATTTTTTATTACGTTTTCAAAGCACAGTATTATTTTTATAATGTGATACTAAAATTACTTCCAACCTAAAATTTTGCAAAGCAAGTTTACATTAGGAATAAAAAATATCTTCAAATTATAAATATTTGTTCAAAACTTCTCAATTACTCATTATTGAAACTTTTATAAACCCTATGATCCATAAGTAGAGTAAAATAATATATTTTATTTACAATGCAGTGTAATCACATATTTTAATACATGCAATTCATATTATATTTCTATTTATGAATTGTTCTGAAGATGAAGATGTTGACAAACATCTACACATTATACATCTTTAGTGCAGGAATGGTCTTACTTTTCAGTGATAAACTAAAGAAGAATATATAGCTTAACAACAAAAGCAGTGCAAAAACTGCATTATATAAAACACCCATGCAAAGTTCAGAAGCACATTGCACATCGGTGCCAGGGCCCAGGACTATAAGGAAGATAAGCATTCATTGAATTCCAGGACACATAAATGTTCTAAGATAAGAAACAGAATAAAAACTTGCCAGTCTTCCTGGTTGAGTGTTGAATTTCTACTACACATGGAAACTAATTGAAGAGCTTTTATTCCAGATAGTTATATTATCTAATTAGGCCTACTCTTAAAATTCATGAGATTCTAATACTTCTTTCAGGATGAAGGGCAAATGCAAGAAAAATGTTTTTTCTTTCACATATAACTTGTATGTAATCACCCCTTACCAACGAAAAATTAAACAAAGCTAACCTTGAAACTACTTGGCTATTTAAATCTATTCTTTTTAAAAATTTTTGTAATACATGCAACCAATATTAATAATATATTTACAAATATTTTGACTCATAATGCAGGAGCTGGGCCATTTAAGCTATGCCTGTGTTCAAACGCACTTATCACCATTACTATCATCATCATCATCATCATCATCATCATCATCATCAGCATCAGCATCATCATTGTAGTCGTCATCGTCATCATCAGCATCATCAAAATGTGTTAGTCATTTCAGCGTGTATATGTATTTACAGAAGAATGAGTAGATCCACACATTTAATAAAGAGAACCAGAATTAAAGGATTTGATACTCCAAGTTCACTTCTGATGAGAATGAGGAAAGGGATAGGTTATGACAATGAATTATTAAGAAGTGTGTGAAGTTTCAAGGTCAATGTGATATAACATATTTAATTGCTACCAAGAAATTAAACAACTGAAGTCACATAATTTGAACAATTTCAGCCTCACCATGAAAGGCTGTTATCTTGAGAATGATTAACTTACAACTTTTATCTCATGAAAAACTGAATAATAGAATAAATATATATTTTTATAGGTACCCTGCACAAATTTTCCCTTGTCTTATTATTTTTCTTAAAATAAAATATTTTCCTTTTTAATGTGGTCCCCATTAAATAAAAAAAAAATTAAATGTTCTTACTGCTGAAAGTACCAACATCACTGACCTATACAAACATTTTTCCAAATAGGTTTAAT